TGTGAGAGCCTTAGAGGAGTTGAACTACACTGTAGATGAGAAGGAGATCATCTACACCGCACTCCAGGGGCTGGACCAAGAGGCGAACGAGGCCCTACTGCAGTACCTTCACCTTGAGCAACAGAAATGGACCAAGGCCTGGATATGGGAGGTGTTGGTCTCTGATGAGGCTCGCAAAAGGGATGCTGGTAGAGGAGTTGAAGGGGGAATGGGGGCAGGTGATAGGGCTGCCTCCAAGAAATACCAGCAGCGGCAAGGAGGTGGGGGGAAGAAGAAGGAACTCGACAAGTGCCTTGTCCCTGGATGCAACCGGAAGCACTCTTGGAAGGAGTGTTGGAGCCGACCAGATGGGTGGAAGCCTCAAGGGTACCCAGGAGAGGCTCCACCTGTCACTAGGCCTGAATGGGTGGAGAGGAGGATGAAGAATGGAGCATGGAACAAGAAGGGCAGCAAAGAGAAAGCGGCAGCAGCGGCGACAAACGAGGATAAGAAGGGAAAGGAGGACTCATCGGATGATGGCTTCGCCTTCTTATCCTTGGAGATAGAGACGGCGCTTGCTGGTCGTACGTTGGCTGACCCCAATCAGCTCATTCTAGACTCCGGAGCAACCTGTGGAATGGTGCCTCGGCGCGACCTCTTCACCATCTATCACTCCCTCCCACCTAACTCCAGAAATGTGATTGTGGGGAGCGGAGATAAGCTACAAGCAATCGGCATCGGCACCATCACCGTCAAAGGGAAGGAGGGGGAGGTGCTGAATGTGAAGGGTGTGCTTCATGTTCCTGAATTGGCAGCCAACCTTCTCTCATGCTCTCAGCTTGCGAAGCAAGAATACATATGCACCTTCACCATGGAAGGTGGCACGGTTTGCAAGGGTGGAGCTGTGGTGATGGAGGCCAAGTTAGAGAAGGGTCTATACCTTGTTCCAGTTTGTGTGCCTCAGGTGGAAAGGGCACATGGGGTTGAAGCCGAGGATGCCGCTTGCAGCACCCGTTGGAAGGATGTGGAGCAAGTGACGGCAGATTTGCTGCACCTACGCATGGGGCATGCAGGAAGGCAGCAACTTGTGGAGTGTGTGAAGAAGGGGGAGCTGAAGGGTGTGGAGATCAAGGAGGGTGGTGGGCAGCCAAGCAAGTGCCCTGATTGCACGACCGGGAAGCTGCCAAGGACCTCTTTCCCTACCTCCACCTCTCGGGCCACCGCTCCTCTTGAGTTGGTGCACACGGATGTGTGTGGCCCCATGCAAACTCCGGACAGAGAGAAGGGCAGCAAATACTTCATCACATTCCTGGATGACTACAGCCGCCTCAGTTGGGTCACCTTGGTGAAAACCAAGGATGAGGTGGCCAAGGTGTTCAAGCGTTGGATACGCTATGCGGAGAGGGAAGCCGGGGCCAAGGTGAAAATACTACGGTCTGATCGGGGTGGGGAGTACATGGGGAAGGATCTGGAGTCTTTCCTTGAGGATAAGGGCATCACCCACCAACTTTCAGTTGCCTACTCGCCGCAGCAAAATGGAGCAGCGGAGCGGCTTAACCGGACCCTCATTGACCTTGCCCGAGCCATACTTGCTCATGCGCAGCTGGACCATACTTGGTGGGGGGCAGCAGTGCAATATGCCAACTGGGTCAAGAACCGGATGGGCAGCAAGGGGCTAGGGGGCAAGAGCCCATACTTCATGTGGACCAGGAAGGTGCCTAGTGTGTCCATGGCACGAGTCTGGGGGTGCATGGCGCAGTACAAAGTGCCCGACCAGCAACGGAGGAAGCTGGATCCCAAGGCACAATGGGGCATTTTCCTTGGTGTGTCGGAGAGGAGCAAAGCTTGGATGTTGTGGAGTGTGGCGGATCAGCGGGTGGTGGAAAGCCGGGATGTGGTTTTCCATGAGGGGCTGAGCTACAAGGGGTGGAAGGAGCATGGTGCTAGTACAGTTGGGAGCTCCCTCCAGGATCCCTACACCTCTTCCATTTTTGAGGGGACATGGGAGGACCCTGGAGAGGAGGTAGAGGAGCAGCAGGAGGAACACAAGGCAGCTGCACCTCACCATGAAGATTCCCCAACTGCTGGTTCCACCCCTGACCCGAACAAACCAGCCCATGAACCGTCGCAGCCCCAAGAGCAGCGGCAGCAGCAGCAGCAGCAGCAGCAGAAGCAGCAGCAGCAGCAGCAGCAGCAGCAGCAGCAACAGCAGCAGCAGCAGCAGCAGCAGCAGCCACCACAGCAGCATACACCGCCTATTGCTGTGGGAAGGTGGCAGCAACTATTGCAGCAGCAGCTGTCCAAGTCACCACGGTCCCCCATGAAGAGAGTGACTTGGAAGGAGAAGCTGCAAAGTTTGGAGCAGGGGGAGGCATCACCTCTGCGCCGCACCACACGCATCTCCCGGCCACCTGACAGGTTCACACCAAGCGCACAGTATGCTTGCATGCATGATCATGAGGTGCATGATTTGGAGGAGTGCATGCTTGTGGATGCTGAGGGGGGTGAGCTTGGGCTTGATTTTTGTCTCATGGGTCAGGTGCATGAGCCTAAGTCGATCAAGGAGGCCTTGTCCCGTCCTGAGTGGGTCGAGTCTATGCGTGAGGAGCTTGAGTCTCATAGGGTGAACGAGTCCTTTGAGCTGGTTGATCCAGCTTGTGTGCCACCTGGAATGGAGGTCTTGAGGTGTCAGTGGGTGTGGAAGTATAAGCACCTGGCTGATGGGAGTATTGAGCGGCCTAAGTCCAGGTTGGTGGCCATGGGGAACACTCAAACACGAGGTGTTCACTATGACGAGGTATATACCCCGTTGGGTAAGCCTACTACCCTGAGAGGATCCCTTGGGATGGCAGCATCCTCGGGATCTCACGTCCATCACATGGATGTGACCACTGCCTATCTTCATGGGGTCTTGAAGGAGGAGCTTTACATGAGGCAGCCCCCTGGCTTTGATGATGGGTCAGGCAGAGTATGCCGACTCATAAAATCAATCTACGGGCTGAAGCAATCTCCAAGGCAGTGGTACCTCAAGTTTGATGAGGCGCTGATGGATTTTGGCTTTGAGAGGTCGGAGTGTGAACACGCCTTGTACCACTTGGTGAGACATGATGGCAGGTTGTCCCTCTACCTCTATGTGGATGACATTCTGCTCATCTCTTCGAGCATGGGTTTGCTGGACGAGGTGAAGGGCCTCTTGTCCTCTCGTTTCCGCATGAAGGACTTGGGGGAGGCTAAGTACTATTTGGGGGTGCAGATTGAGCGTGATGAGAGTGGCATCTTGATTCATCAGGAGAGGTACATTCTCAACATGCTTGAGTCCTTTGGGCTTTCTGAGGCTAACCCCGTGCGTACCCCTCTCCCTACAGGGTTCGACGTGCATGCACACGCTGAGGAGCCCTTGCTGAGAGATGAGCTGGTTCGGCTCTATCAAAGCATTGTGGGGTCTCTCATGTATGCAAGCACGACCACACAGCCCCAGATTGCTTATGCAGTGTCACAGCTGTCCAAGGTAGTGTCTTGTCCCAAGGCATTTCATCTGCAGGCTGCTAAGAGAGTGCTAAGGTACTTGAAAGGTTGTGTCAAGTCAGGTATCTTCTACCCCGCACACAGCAAGCCTCAGGTCGAGTTGGTGGGCTTTAGTGATGCTGATTATGCTGGAGATTCAGCTGATCGCAAGAGTCACACCGGCTATGTCTATTGCCTCAATGGTGCAGCCATCTCTTGGCAGAGCAAGAGGCAGCCGGTGGTTGCATTGTCCACCACTGAGAGTGAGTACATCAGTCTGTGTCAGTGCATTCAGGAGGGTGTGTGGCTGAAGCGTTTGTTTGGGGAGTTTGGGCATGAGTTTGCTGGTGGTGTGCCTGTGTTTGTGGACAACCAGTCTGCCATTGCCCTTGCACAGAATGCATGCTTGCATGGCCGCACCAAGCACATGCAGGTTCGGTGGCATTTCATCAGGGAGATGGTGGCTAGTGGCGAGGTGATCCTCCGGTGGTGCCCAACCGACCGTCAGGCAGCAGACATACTCACCAAACCCCTTCCTTTTGAGCGGCATGGTGTGTGCATGTCCTTGATGGGGATGCAGCCCCATGTTAGCATGGTGCCTGAGCAGGATGTGGGAGGATTGGTGCTTCTCTGCCTTGACGACCTCATGCTGTGGATGGCGCCCCTCCCTGGGCAAGGGGGAGTGGAGTGAAGGATTTTGCCCAGTGGTGTTCAGCCACCTCCAGCACGAGCAAGGGGGAGTGTTGATTGTGTAGGTGGTTGTGGTATTTTGCTCTAGCTGGTTGTGGGCTAAGGGTTTGGGCAAAATGTGGTGGTTGGACTTGTTGCGGGCTGGATTTGAACTCGCACCTAACAAGCACCAACAAACATTTCTTACCAACTACAACACCTTTGGTGTTGCTAGTTTGGCACTTTAAGGTGTTGGGGATTGTTGTAGGGCGAGGGTTGGGTTGGTAGGGTTTCACCAACTCGTCACTTTTCAGATCTGAACTCTTGCTAAAGCTACTTTCTAGATCTAATCCATGGCTGCCAAGTAATTCCGTCAGGATACCCCGTCGCACATAAATCGCGATAGCGATCGGCCTAGATCTTGGATGAAGGCGTGCTTTACCATTCTGGAAAGTAGAGATTAAGATCTTTCCAACGCGTACCTGCTCATAGTAATAGGTTACGTGAGCTGCACGCAATGGTTCGCCGAAGTCAGCGGACTTAACCTCTTGTTACGTTCTCCAGATTCGCACGCTTTCTATCAATATTCGGTGATTCAATGCCCGGTGCAGATAGGTCGGCACAGCATCACGGCGATAGTCGATTCCGGCGCGTCAACCACGACCCTGTCCCATGTGGTGGTTCGACGGCTCGGACTGCTCGACTACTTGGAAAAGTGCAACATCGAGTTCGTGACCTCGAGTGGAGACAAATCTAAGCCATGGGGCGTAGTCCGGAACGTCCCGATCCAAGTGGGGTCATTGACCCTCCCCATCAATGTACCAGTCACCGGAGCCATTAGCTATGACATGCTCCTCGGCAATGACTGGCTCGTACCCGCCGGAGCTTCCATCAACTTCGGCGATAAGACCCTCACGTATCAGCTCAACCCGCAGGAGGTCGAGACGATTCCGATAGTCTGTGGCAAGACAACCGACAGCCATCCTCAGTACATGGCTGTAGAAGATCAAGATGATGAGTCCGAGGAACCAGAGCCCGAGGAACCAGGAGACGACAACACCGATACGCTTGTCCCTTCCTTTTTGACAGTCGCCGCATCATCCGAAGAAGAAGAGGGATCGGAATCTGCTGAGCAAAAGGAGGAAGACGAGACGGAATCAGGCGAAACCGACCAAGATGACGAGAGTGAATCCGAAGAGGCAACCGACAATCCCATCGATAACCTCCCCGAGGACACTCCTCAGAAAGGACAGGACCCGACCGAAACCGACGGCCCCGAGCTACCCACCCCAGTAGCCGACCGAGGAAAACGCCCCATGGAGACCGAAGAGGCATCCGAACCACCTTCCAAAGAACAACGTATCAACCCCACTATCGAGGACGACATTCCGATCGAACCTGAACCGGAAGAAGAGCATGCCGGGCGCCACACCGACATTTGGAAGGACAAGAATAACATCAAGTTCCTCAAGACCGGAGTAGTTGACCCAGACTGACCCAAAGAGGAAAAGATGCGCGTTCGAATGCGGACCAAGATCTACGTGTTCAACGACGGGACCCTCTACAAGCTCAACAAAGGCAAGCAGCTTCCCGCCCCACCAGCAAGAATGCGGAAAGACCTCATAGCAACAGCTCATGGATTGGGTCATTTCGGAGAACAAATGACGTACTCCTTACTTCAGCCCCAATACTTCTGGCGCGGAATGTACTAGCAAACAGCCAAATTCGCCGCGGATTGTCCCATTTGCTTCTTCCAAAAGCAGAGCTACACAACCAAAACCAAACTTAAGCAAGTCCCAATCGTCGCCCCATGGATCAAAGTGGTAGCAGATGTGGTCCACCTTCCAACGTCTCTGAGGTAACAAGTACGCAGTCATTGCCATCGACCATTTCACTAAATGGCTCGAAGCACAGCCCCTTCAAGTGGCCACATCTGCCAACATAACCCGTTTTATCCTCGAGAAACTCATCTGCAATCACGGGTGCTTCGCAATACTCCATACCGACAATGGGGCCCACTTCCGAGGAGAGGTCAACGCTCTCCTCCGACAGTTCAACATTTATCATTCGTTCGGGGCTCCCGAACACCCCCAGAGCCAAGGTCTAGTCGAACGTTTCAACCGGACCCTCAAAGCGGCTCTCCATCGGCTAGGGGATGCCAACCCCCTCCATTGGGACGACAACATCTGGCTCGTCCTCTTTGGATATCGTGCCTTTGTTCACGATACCACCAAAAAATCCCCTTTCCAGCTGCAGTACGGACGACCGGCGTCAATCACTTGGACCGGCCCCCACGATACTGCCCCCATTGACCTATCCGACGATGCTATGGCCGAAGCTGCGGCTGCCACAATCTACAACCGCACCTGCCTCTACGGTCAAGAGCTATACGAAGCTGCCAGGAACTCCGACCTAGCCCAAGAACGACAGAAGCTGAATTTCGACCTCCGGCGTACCACCAAGACCGAAGATATTATCATCAAGGTCGGCGACTTCGTTGCCGTCGAACCCGCCAACCCTAAAAAGGATTGGAGTCAACAACCGGATCGTTTCCGTCAACTCTACCAAGTGGCTGCCGTCGATACCAACCGAGTCAAGCTCATTACCAAAGACGACAAGGAATTTTGGCAGCCACGAGAAGAAGTCATCCCTTATAAGCCCCGACGATAAAGGTTCACCCGGGTCGGGCGACGCTTCACCATCCCAAACGTCCGACCCTGCATCACCGCTACTAGGAGGCAGTCGGATCTACTCGGGGGGACAACCAACGGTCATTGACAAGCAATTTTTCATCATCAAGAAAATTAGCCCTTGACGGGCGATGAAACCCGCTCCTCACAAAAAAATGAGAATTCTCGAATCGGAACAAGGGGGTAACAACGATCGACCACTTCTCCAAATTACAGCTGACTTTGAAGACGCGGCCGACCGGAAGACTGACGATTCAGATGATCGGTCTGAACCATCAGTACGAGGCATCTGGCAAGAGACGGGATTCTAGTCAGAGGATATCAATTGACATTCATAACCTCACTTTCAACCCCGACGCGGCTAACTGTCGGAGTAGTAACTGCAACAACTGGATCGAGTCAACCGCAGGGTCGACCATCATCTACAGCCAAGTGCGATCAAACCGTTTGACCGGTTATGCACCACCACCCATACGAAACTACAACTGCCGGAGTATCGGGCTTTCACTCCTAGTCTAGCAGCCGAGTCAACTTCCATCCACAACCACCATAGTAAAATATTTAACTCCTGGTCCGGCAGTCAAGATGGTTCAACCTCCACGAACAGCCACAACCGCAGCAGTCCGTCATCAAGGAGAATTCAAGAGGACCGGATTTCACCCCAGGTCCCGCATCGCAACTCCCAGAGAAGACAGGGTACGGGAATCACCCCTGGCCCGTCATAAAAACGACAAACCGCCATCGGGTTCAGGACTTCACTCCTAGCCCGGACGATTCATCCTACAGCAGACGACGCAACCGCCGCCGACCGTCATTTGCTACACGACAAATCAGTCATCGCCAGGGGTTAGACCCTGCAACAACCCCGACCCGTAGCGCAACTGACACAAGCCACCATACGCTAACCGAAAAAGCATCTACAGGGTCAGGCTTTCACCCCTTGCCCTACAACGCTTCATCTGCCAGCCCGAAGCGCAACCGCCAGGATAAGGCTTTCACCCCTCGCCCGACGACGCTTCATTCAACAACCCGAGGTATAACCACCCGAGCCGCCATGCACCAACTTCCCAAGCCGCAACCTCCAAATAACTTCCGAGTCGTTCCGACCCGCCTAACAGAGCCCCAGTGCACCTCATGGAACTCTATAAGAAGGGAGAGGATCGACCCAGAAAGTCATTCTTCAATTGCATCATCAATTTCTTTGAGAAATACTCAGCTCGCGCATTTCCTAAAGGCAACTTTCAATCTCATGGAGTTCAGCCATCCGGAGTCACCAAAGTACCAGGTCCCAAGAGAGGAACCGGATCCCCGAGACTTCAAGCCTGGGGAGTTCGAGCAGAAATTTGGTTTCAGCATCGACCAACTCAGCCATTCTGTTCAAGCCACTCTAGAGGAGCAGCTCGACCTCAAGTGCCTATCTCTTGAGGAGTCCAAGCCGAGAATCAGAATCAAGATCACCCTATTTGGCCCGGCCGACCTTAGAGGTCACGTGGATCTCCCCCCCGGCTATCAGATAGAAGACGGAGAAATCCTATGCGACGAACAAGGACGCCCTGCAACCACTTTCGGCCGATGGGTTCGGGGGATGTACTGCGACATCCGAGAATATTGCGTCGTCCCTATTAGCTATGACTGGGAACCCGAATCTCCACCGACCAAAGCCGTGGACTCTATCAACGGAAACCCGATCCCACCAGGTTTCGACGTGGACGTCGAATCTTAAGCGGCGGGAGTTACAACTGTAACGGCAAACGACCTGCCGCGACAGTCCAGCTTCCCCGATGACCAGTCAACGGAGGTTACTTGCGGTTGTAAACCGCTCGGACCTTGTGGGCATGAATCGAGGTCCGGTGCACGCAGGATCAACCGAAGGGAGACCAACCGACAGGAGGTTGGATGCGGCCGCCAAGACGCATACAACCGACTGCAGGATGGCTGTTCGGAGGTTACATGCGGTTGCCAAGCCGCGTGTGGGTCCGGAATAACCATCTGATAGGATAGACGGGTCCGATAGTATAAAGATCAGAGCAATAGATCAATAATGCATAGTTCAATTGTACGCTTTCCGCTGCTACTCTGTATACTACCGGATATTACAAGGATTCTGACACCAATCCCTGTATGCACCTTAGTAAAACCGTGTGGTGCTGACCCAGACGAGGAGTGAAGCCCGTTCTCCAGTGGGGATTCCTCGGATAGGGACTGAGTGGTTAAGACCCGTAGTTGGGCAGCCAACTCGGTAAAGGCGTTAGGTCATCACCGGGCTGGTGGTCGGATTCCCCATAAATCCATCGGTGGGCATATGCAACAGAGCAAGAAAAGAGAAAGAAAACTCTTGACCCGTGTTACAGTAGAATGATCTGCGGCTTCTTGTGTACCTCAAACGCACAAGTGAAAAACACCTCTTCGGGTCTTCACGAGCGCTCGTTCTTGAATGCCTGAAAGGCACAAGAGAAACTCCTTCGCAGGCAGTCCTCGGGCTTGATATTGTGTGCCTGAAACACACAACTTGAAAACGCCTCCATGGTCTTTTCGCGCGCGCGTTCTTGCGTGCCTAAAAGGCACGATGGAAATACCTCGGGACGAGACTTCTAATGTGCTCATTGAGCCGCAGAGTGGCGCTCAAGTCTTAAAGTCTTGTGGGAATGAAGCTCACAACAAAGCTGAATATGAAGTTATGAAGGGCAACGTGCACCGCAGGCTAGAATCAATGGCCTCAAATCGCGTGGTCGCGTGGTTCGAAATCGCTTGGCAGGAATGACTAAGTTGATGACAATTAGGACACGCCAAATTTTGTCTTGATTCAAGTCCAGAACAGTCAGAATAGTGAAGGGTGGCAAGGAGGGAAGGTTGTCACGAGAGGGAAGAGACCTGTACGTGGTTTGGAGAGGAAGCGGGGGGCTGTCACGAGACTTGCATTGAGGATCCCTAATTAATCCCAGGGGGTTCTACTAAAACATGTTTTTTTTTTCTCCAATGATCTAGTACCTGGAATTCCCACATGATATCAAAGCGAAATGTAACTGGGTTCGAACCCTTGTATACGCACATGCTGCCGAATACGCTGTGTCGTGTCCTAGGCCTTAATGTATGGAGGGGTGTCAAGAAACCTGCACTGGAAATCCTCGGTTGATCCTAGAGGGGTTACATGCATGTTAAGCTAGGGGGTTATGGACGCACTGAACCGCTACTGACTAGTAGCTTTGTGAGATTGTGAATGCGATAAGGGTTGGACACTTTCACACAAGAACCCGCTCTTATTGGTTGAGCTTGAACCCTGCAGAGTGCCACCACCTTGCTTGGCATCTGTTATGATAATATCTATTAGTAGCTTGGTGAGTTTGTGAATGCGGGAAGAGCTGGATGCTCTCACCTAGTAACTCGCGTCACACCGCAACAGCATACGCGCGCCTTAACACCGTAGTAACGCGCGCACACCCTGTGTTGTTTTTTTTTTTTTGTGGCCCATGTGTTTCTGCTATGATGTTTCTAAACCATCTTCATCCTGTGTGTGACTTGTCGAAAATGTGTATGTGGGCAGACTTGAAGAGATGGATAAGGTGCGGCAGCAGCCGGAGCAATTCCTTGCCGAGGAGATTTTTATTCTGAAAAAAATGGCGGAGTATCTGAAAAAAAAAAAAAAAAGTACCAAGTGCAAGTTGCTGTTACTGGGCATTCTTCAAATTATCGCGGAGTATGATGTGCTGCATGAGACCAACATGTAAGTGTATGTCGTGATGGTGATGTGAAGATGTGGACGGAGGAGTTGTGAGGAGAGATGTTTGTAACACATCATCTTGTTTTTT